CAGGCTTAATAAAGCCAAATATACAACTATGTAGAGAAACTTGCTAGAAAAGATACCGGGGGCGTCGAAAAAGTGCTACAAGTCGAATTTTTTTACACGGTAACTTTAAAGCTCAAGCGGGTAAAACCCGCTTGAGCTGGAAGGGTTTTGCGTGGAAAAGTGTATCTTGCGAGTAATTTAAAATTTCCGGTATTGTGCCTGAACAAATCGACCAATTTTGTAAATGAGCTTCACTGCTTAACACTGCGAGATTTAGAGGAAACTTTCTTTGTCCTGAAGCTAGTCGAGACTTATGCAGGCTGGTTCAAGACCTGACAATTTTCCCCATAAAGTTACGATTTTAAGTCCGAATTAAGGCTTGGAGGAAGAGAGCGCCGTCCAACTAAATTCCTGTCCAGATACTAATCTAAAGTCTGATTGGAACAAGCTTTTTGCCTCAAAATCTAGGAGTAAAGCGATAAAGCTCAGCGGTCGATTTGGCCGTGCGCAAGTAAAGAAAATTCGCAAAAACTCGAAAACTGTTGATTTTTCCAAAAAATGCCAAGACATATTTTTAACGAAGAAACTATGCAGTTTCCGGCAAAGTTTCTGAAAATGAGTCAAAGTGGTCACAGAAAAATATTTGACTTGCCGAAGTTTATCGACTCTTCAAGTAGAATTTTTACCTAAGGCGCGTTTCTAGCTTGAATTCGATTAGAAGAGTTAACATGTTCACCGAGTTTCATGTGCTTACTTTATGTAGATAGAAATTAAAATTTTCTGCGAACGCGCACTTTTAAGAGCTGTTGTACAGGGTGTCCCGTAAGCACAAAATCAAAAGGTGGTATCAAAAGTTCAAACAACAATATTGGGCTCAACAGAACATGAGCTGATGTAACTTTTATGACGAAAAAATGTCTGGCTTCTCTGCTATTAATAGCCAAAGTTCTTCAAAAAAATTGTTTTTGAAAATATTGGACGAATGATACGATTTTTTTTAATGGCAGTAGCTGTAAATTTGCTCTCTTGTAAGACTAATATTTTTATAAAGCAACCGAGTTCATCCACTTTGGGCAAGTGGTGAATTCGTAAGTAACTTGGTACAAAAACCACCAGATTTTTATTTGATAAACAGAAGCAATTGAGTTTGAGTCTTTTTTGATATTTTTGAGCTCTTTGTAAAGCCATGTAGTATTCCCAGTTTTTGTGCAAAAAATAATTTCTGCTTCTTCGGCATGTAATAATTTTAGACGTGAATTAACTTTTTCGCTCAAGAGGATTTTAGTGAAACTGGCTGTGGAGTTCCTCCTACCTCAAGGCTAAAGTTTGACGAAGTTACCTAGCTCAGCTCAAAAGCTGGCTATAAATAACAGGGGAAGTGGAAAACAATTTTTTAACGCAAAAGCTATCGATGCTTCAAGATTTTACTGCGAGCACAAAAATTTCCAAAAGAATCAGTGTATCGCCTGGACAAATTTATTTTTCGGCAAAAACCGCTCTGTGCAGAGCTGGATTTTTCAAAAGTTAATTTTTTAAGTTGCATAAAATTGATTTGAGTGGACGTCCAGAGGTTGGACATTTTTTGGTTGGATGCTTGGTTTTGAAGGAAAAAAATAGTTTTCATCGAGAAACAGACTTTTGGCTTGAGGATGGCCGATTTTCGAAACGCCTTCATTTCATTTTTGGCAAAATTTTTGGCTTTCACTTTTCTAAAGACTGTTTAGTGATAATTTGCGATTTTAAAATTTCAAACAATTTTCGAAAATTTTGTCCTTTATTATTGATTTTGCAGAAAAAGCGAATACAAACTATTTTGTGTGGCAAAAACCGTTCTGTGCAGAGGTGGATTCAGGTTCGTTTGGTCGATTTTGGGTTTGGAAATTTTTGAGGATTTTTGGAATTTCTTCAAAAGTGGATTTTTTTAGTTGCATAAAATTGCTTTGAGTGTACGTCTAGAGGCTAAACATTTTTTCAAGAACAACATTTTTTGGTTGGATGCTTGGTTTTGGAGAAAAAAATAGTTTTTTTCGAGAAACAGAGACTTGGCCTGAGGGTGGCCGATTTTCGAAACGTCTTCATTTCGTTTTTGGCAAAATTTTTGGCTTTCACTTTTCTAAAGACTGTTAAGTGATAATTTGCCATTTTAAAATTTCAAACAATTTTCGAAAACTTTTTCGCAAAATTTTGGCTAAAAAGTGACAATAGCGCCTTTATTACTGATTTTCCAGAAAAAGCGATTACAAACTATTTTGTGTTGCAAAAACCGTTCTGTGCAGAGCTGGATTCAGATTTGTTTGGTCGGTTTTGGGTTTGGAAATTTTTGAGGATTTTTGGGAATTTTTTCGAAAGGTAATTTTCTTTTCTTTTAAAACTTTCTTTTCAAAAGTTAATTTTTGAAGTTGCATAAAATTGCTTTGAGTGGACGTCCAGAGGATGAACATTTTTTGAAGAACAACATTTTTTGGTTTGATGCTTGGTTTTGGAGAAAAAATAGTTTTTATCGAGAAACAGAGACTTGGCCTGAGGCTAGCCGATTTTCGAAACGTCTTCATTTCGGTTTTGGCATAATTTTTGGCTTCCACTTTTCTAAAGATTGTTTAGTGATAATTTGCAATTTTAAAATTTCAAACAATTTTCGAAAATTTGTTCGCAAAGTTTTGGCTAAAATGTGAAAAATGTCAATAACGCCTTTATTATTGATTTTACAGGCAAAGCGAATACAAACTATTTGGTGTGTCAAAAACCGCTCTGTGCAGAGCTGGATTCAGATTCGCTTGATCGATTTTGGGTTTAGAAATTTTTGAGGATTTTTGGGAATTTTTTCAAAAGTAAAATTTTCTTTTCTTTCACAATTTTCTTTCCAAAAGTTAGTTTTTGAAGTTGCATAAAATTGCTTTGAGTGGACGTCCAGAGGATGAACATTTTTTGAAGAACGGCATTTTTTGGTTAGATGCTTGATTTTGGAGAAAAATAGTTTTTATCGAGAAACAGAGACTTGGCCTGAGGGTGGCCGATTTTCGAAACGTCTTCATTTTGTTTTTGGCTTCCGCTTTTCTAAAAACTGTTTAGCGATAATTTGCGATTGCAAAATTTCAAACAATTTTCAAAAATTTTTTCGCAAAATTTTGGATAAAATGCGAAAAATGTTAATAACGCCTTTATTATTGATTTTACAGAAAAAGCGAATACAAACTATTTGGTGTGGCCAAAACCGCTCTGTGCAGAGCTGGATTCAGATTCGTCTGGTCGATTTTGGGTTTGGAAATTTTTGAGGGTTTTCGGATTTTTTAAAATTTTTTCAAGTTAATTTTTTAATTTGAAAAAATTGCTTTGAGTGGATGTCAAGAGGCTGAACATTTTTTGAAGAATAAAATGTTTTTTTCTGATTCTTGCTTTTGGAGAAAAAAATACTTTTCATCGAGAAACAGAGACTTTTGACCTGAGGGTGGCCTATTTTCCAAACGTCTTCATTTCGTTTTTGGCAAGATTTTTGGCTTCCACTTTTCTAAAGACTATTAAGTGATAATTTGCGATTTTAAAATTTAAAACAATTTTCGAAAATTTTTTCGCAAAATTTTGGCGCAAAAAGCGAATACAAACTATTTTGTGTGGCAAACACCGCTCTGAGAGCTGGATTCAGATTTGTTTGGTCGGTTTTGGGTTTGGAAATTTTTGAGGATTTTTGGGAATTTTTTCAAAAGTTAAATTTTTTAAGTTGCATATTCAGTTATATGTAATAACCTTTTTCTGCAGAATTGTAACCATCAGAAGCAGAGCAGTAGATCGTCTTCGTTTCGATCGACCATATCCTTAGAGGACACCCTGTATATGAGATTTTCCAATGTACTCACCTGTGGAATTTTGAACAGTCGAAGTAGATTGGACACTTGAATGGACGTAACGCTGGACGCGGCTCCCACGATGCCAGAAATTATTTTTCGCACTTGGGTTTTGTTGCAGTGGAACTCTGCACCCTCGATGTTACTAATGCTGCCTGAAAGAGAAAAACGCGTTAGAAATTAGGGAAGGCAATGAAGCTTCTACACAAACTGCAACAATGCTTTCATGGGGAAATTTGGCGGAAGAAAGGTGTTTTTTGCAAACAGCCATAAGCAAAAACTGCGATTTTCCCCTAAAAAGGGTTCAGGAAAATCGAGCACCGGAAGCCAGTTTCACTTAGTAATAGATATCATTTACTTTAGCGCCGTTTTAGGTTGCATATAACGGCAAGGCGGGGTGGAAAATTCCTGGATAAGGTGCGGCTGAGCTTTTATTGGAGCATTATTTCGCGCACTATAAAGTTCATTAATTATTTGAACTGTTCGGAGTGCACCTAGTAAATTTTCCAGGCTATACGACACCTTCATGTAGCTACGTGAGTTGCTAGTTAATTCAGGAGTCGCATGATACATGCGGACATCGCTACATATGGGGTCTTAATGAGAATATCAATCTTATTTGGGTGTATTGTTGCGGTAATTTTCTGCTTTTATGCCAAGCTGAGTAATCGCTTTAATTGGAAAACTTTACTTTTATGCACTATTAACGTCTGGACTCTAGCTAATTATTATTGCCGAGACAAGCGAAACGTTCAAAAAACCCTTGTGAACACAACTTGCCTTCTCAATTATGCGTTTTCCTTCATCTGGTCCAAGAAGCTGTCAAAGTCCTCAAGAGGCGGAAAACTTTTCCGCATGAATATAAGAAAAGTTAAATTAACTGGCCCGCAGCACAAAACCGAATTTGTTTTCTATTTACTTATAAATTGGACTAAATAGAAGTGCCGGCACGGGTGGATTGCAAAGGGCTTCTTATATTTTTGATACATCTGTTTGAATGAAATGGGCGGAAAAGTTTGATCGAGGTAATATCCAGTTCGTGACAGCTATCCGATCGAGAAATTCCATGAGCTGGAAAGCTGGCTTTACCGATTGATGGAATAAATTATTGTTATACGGAACGTTTCGAGGATTTTCCTGATGACAAGGACCTAGTTAGAAATTGCCTTGGAATTCGTTCAATAACAGAAGAAAAAAACTGGGGGAATTCATTGGATTTCAGTTCAGCAGCCAATTGTAAAGCGACAAGATCAAAGCAGCAATAAAACAACTGCAAATGATGCATGGAAAGTGAGTACAAGAATAAAAAGCCAAGGCCAGGTCATAATCAATGTGGGAAAATTCATACGCTCTTGCCGTTAAAAATATCAAACAATTTTCCCGACAAAGAATGAAAAATGATTTTCCAGCACAGGACATGGAAAACTATGCAATTTCCCTTCGTTGCTCAATTTAATTGATGGCGCTCTCAACCTCTCAACCGCTTCAACATCAGTTGAAATTTCGTCTAAAGCAATTGTCACGTTCTTCCTATTGAAACTATGACTGGAAATGCTATTTTTAATTGACTGAAAACGCGCCAATTAATTGAAAATCGCTTTGCCTTTTATTCCTACATAAAAAATTGCCAACTCGATATGATTACGAGCTGGGTGGAACAAGCAGAGCATGTTCCAAGGTGGACTATTAGCATAGATTCGAGCAAAATGTATGCGCCAATTAATTATATTTTCCACCCGCTCTGAACCAGACTAGTTTAACAAATGATTTGCAAAGATTACTGTTAAAGGCAACATGCGATTTACTCTTGAGCTGCATTGTGCATTATTAATACCTCGTCATGTGAGACGTTTGATTAAAACATTGGGGGCGTATGGAAAACACATTTAGATGCCAGTTCGGGTTAGAGCTGGAAGCTCAACGACCGGGAATTTATTGAAAAATTCATCCGAAGGCGTTTGGAAATGGGCAATATGTCGGGCTGAAGTCAGGAAAATGGTCAGGGGATGTCAAGTCTGGTGAAGAGGGCGGCTCTTTTATTGGACAAGTTTCGGAACTACAAAGTTTTTAAGAAATAGTTGGCTAAAGAGTGGCAACTGAAAGTTCAACAAATTTAAAAAATATATGTAATAATTAATATAAGTGTAAACTAGTTTTGAAATCCAAATCGAAGACGTTGGAAAATTGACACGATTTTTTCAAACGAAAAACACAAAATCGAACGGTCGATTTTTAGTCGAAAAAAGGTCAAATTGCTGAAAATTACACTTTTTCGAAAAATATATCATTTGAAGTTTCAAATCCGAAATAATCGGCGTTTTAGTCCATGTTTAGCTGCATTTGGGAGGTCACAATGCTTAACCGACTGGAGAGCTTCTTCTTAGGTCGAATTGCCCCTCATTGAGCTGAAAAACGTTTTTTACCAAAAGTGTCTTAAGCTATCTTAAAAAATCGCAAGTCTCTTCAAATGCATATAATTCTACATCATGCTCATCACATGGAAGCGAGCGTTGAATGAAAAACTCGTCAGAAGCTTCAGATCCGAAAAAAAGTGACATTTTTGGTTTATTTCTGTAGGTTTTTGAACATTTCACGGCTTTAGTCGTCAAAAGGTTCCATGTTCACTCAAACCTTTTATATGCGCCTATTGGGAAGCTCTTTAGGACGCAAGAACTGAATTAAACTCAAAAAACGAGCATTTAAAATTACAATTTTTGACCTAGAATTTCATAGCTGTACAGGCGGATTTTTCAAAAAATTTCAAGTATCTCTAGAACCCTCGAATTTTGCAACAATTACATCAAAAGATAGCGAGATATGCGAGATGCCGATTAATACAGACGCTAGAAGCTTCAGCTCCAAAGTAAGCGATCTTTTTATCCTATTTTGAGTGGTTTTCTATTTTATAGCTTAATCTTTTTATGCTCATGCACTTTATATTTGGAGATTCTTAGGTCGGTAACCATCCATTGAACTAAATAAGTACGTAGGTGCAATTACGATTTTTGACCGAAAATTTTATAAGCGGTAGAAGTGGATTTTTTCAAAACAAGTAGAATTTCTTGAAATGCCCGAAATTCTATTATCATTTTTACCACAAGGACGCAAGGAATGCAAAAGGCGTGCGTTGAAAAACTCGCTAAATCCTCCAGATCTGAAATATGTGAAATTTTTGCCCATTTAATGCCGTTTTTAACGTTTTTTCTATAATCTTTAAACTTCTTTTTGATGTTTACTGAGGAGTTTCTTAAGCCGAAAACAATTAGTTGAGGTGAAAAAACACACATATAGACTTTTGATTTTTGATCGAAACTTTTGAGCGACTAAACTGGTTCTGCGCTACAGCAAAAAAACTCAAAATGCCTCAAATCCCATTGCCAATTTACCACCACTGAACAGTTTTGTTGAATTTCCACGAAATGATCACATCGACAGTGAGGGCTTTGCAAATAAATTGACACGTTTTTCAATTTTGCATGTCAATATATTTCCCGAGGATAAATTGCAGTTTTTGCTACGCGACAAACACGAAAGCCGTGAAATATAAAACCATTTATCTTGTAAAGTTAATAAAATATTCCGATGAGATATTGGCGTTTGTGGGATGTTCCAATAAATCAGGGCGATATTGTTATTTTCGGTCTTATCCGAGCGTAACAGGTCCCCGAACTATATTATTTTGAGCAAAGTGTGGAAAAATTGGAATTTTCAGCGCGTGTAATTTGCTTGACATCATCGATAACTTGCATTTTTTTTAGGCATTGCAATGCTACTTACATTTGGGCGCTAGTCGATTTGAACCTGCAACGTATGGATTTTGAAACTGAAAATATCTTTGCAAATGCTTAATATTTATTCGGGAACAGCGGGCATTTAGCTGAAATCTTTAATAGTAATCGGCTTAACGTTGCAACATTCGCTGCAGGCTTATCTACAATATTTCAGTGCATTTAAGGCGATTTAACGACTTCATAGCGATACTGAAAAGTATGGCTAGCTGTTTACATTTCAGACTCGACTCTATGAAAAAAACCATTATGCATACCGATTTGAGTGTTTTACGGCTGTTCATAACTGAAGATTGTATGACACACATTTTACTTTTTTGACCCGTATTATTTCTAGTCAATTAGGGATTTGGAAAATTTTACCGGATGACTTAAGGGCCCAATATTTTTATTTTTCCCTCAATTGTACACGCTTTAATGGGCCAGTCACATTCGGGCCCATAACTAAATCAGTCAATGGATCGCTTCAAATTTCCTCAATAACCAGCGTTGCTGAAAAAAATCCAAATTTCCGGATGGGAAATAATTCAATTTCAACTTGAAAATCAGGACAATGGAATTTTCATAACATTCAAATATGTTCAGCTGCCTCAGCCTTTGCCAGGAAATTCCGACAGTTAAACATTATTTCGCTTTGCATAAATTTTAAATCCAAATGCTTTTCAGGACATTTCACCTTTCGCTGTAAAAGCGATTCAGAATTTAAACAGCGATTAAACATTAGCCGTGTAAAACTCTTCAGTTTTAATTCAGTTATTTTAGTTTTGAAAAAACCACTTGTAAATGATCATTTGAAATGGTTCCGGATACAACCAACTGTTGGTTACCAGGCACAAAATATTTAAGGGAGTTTAGATATTCAGTAATGAAGCTTCTAACGCTGTCTTTGTATGCGTGCACTGAATAATTGATATCGATCGACCTCCTGCAATTATCGCTTCTACAAACAGCCCCATTAGTTTTCACCAGCCAGTTCTCAATCATTTTCTTGTCACCGATAACAAATCCTCCGCCCTTAAATTATGATTGCCGTAGAGGTTGAAAAAAGGCTCGGAAAATGTTCTTTATCGTCACATTAAAAGAGCGGTCTTCTGCATATATCAGAGTTGTCATGTCGAGGACACCCGTAGGCGATAAAAACATTTATTAAATGGAAATTATTTCATGTTGGGGCTGACGGTTAACAAAACGCGATTATGCAAATCCCAACTTTCATTCCCGTTTTTTCTTTGCTACTTTCAACTGCCAGTTTTTTCAGTCCAGATTACACGAAGTTCGAGTTTGCTTGAGCCTTCTCCTTCACTTTCACCCGTATGTGTTGTAGAATTGTAATTTCCTGCAGGCTTCCAGAGTATCGCTTTAAGGCA